TGTAGCGAGGTGGGTGTCGGTCTCTTCTCCCAAGTAACTAGCGATAGGACGAGAGGAAATGGCCTCAAGTTGCGCCAGGGGAGGTTTAGATTGGATGTGAGGAAAAATTTCTTTACTGAAAGGGTGGTTAAACATTGGAACAGGCTGCCCAGGGAAGTGGTTGAGTCCCCCTCCCTGGAAGTATTTAAAAGATGTGTTGATGAGGCGCTTAGGGACATGGTTTAGTGGGTACGGTGTTGTTGGGTTGACGGTTGGACTCGATGATCTTAGAGGTCTCTTCCAACCTTAATGATTCTATGATTCTATGATTCTCATGCTGTCTTCACTGTTTGCCACTTCCGTTGAGGTTTTGAGTGGCACAGCTACTGAACAGTTTCTCCTTCGTAGCAGGGGGATGTCACTTGCAGATATCAGGAAGACTGTTAGATGTCACAGCAAGCACTTAACAAACATTGCTGAAGAAAACCTCACAAACTTAGTGAAAAAGGAAGAACTGAATTTTCTAACAGTTGCAAAGAAAGAGATGCATATAACACGTAAGAACAAAAATTAGGTTCTAGGGTTATGAATACGAACATCTTTGTATCTTCTTTGGTGACTGGATGCTTGATTAAGGTCAGTGAATACAGATGCAAAAACGAGCTTCCTCGCAACTCAGAGAAAATTACTTTTAATTAGAATCAGAGAAGCTTGGAAATGCATAGTCATGGTGAATCTTCCTTCTCAATATTACCCAACAATCTTAAAATTTATTCTTGTAGGACTGCCACACTCCTGCCATGCCACTTCCTAGTGAAACCCGCTGCTGTTTGCTCATTCACTGTATTTCAGGATTTCTACATAACTTGACATAGAATCACAGAATGATGTAGGCTGGAAGGAATTTCAGGAGGCCACCTAGTCCAGACTCCTGCTTAAGGCCACTCAGGTTAGAGCAGGTTTCTCAAGGCCTTGTCCAGCCAATTTCTAAATATCTCCAAGATGGGGATTCCGCAGCCTTTCCAGGCTCCTGTTTGACCACCACCACAGTAAGAAAAATTTTCTTGTATCAAATTGTAGTTTTCCATGTTTCAACTTGTGTCTTTCAATGTCCACCTTCAAGAAGAGTTTGGTTCTGTCTTCTCTACACCCTCCCATTCGGTAGTTAAAGAGAAAAGTAAGACTCCCTTCAGCCTACGCTTCTTAGGGCTGCACAAAGGCAATTGTCTCAGCCCCTCCTCCTGCGTCACTTCTCCAGCTCACTAACTCTCTCAGGAGCCCTCCGCTGGACTTGTTCCAGCAGGTTGTCAGTGTGTCAGGAAGGGGTAGTGATGTAGTTACTGTAGGCTGCAATACAGCAAAGATCTTTAAAATAACTGAGGCATAAAAGATGTTTTATGATGCCTCAAAGGATTCCTTGGAGCAAGGAGGAGAACAGTTAGAAGTTGCCCAGCTGTGCAGGAAATGTCATGTTAATTTTTCTTCCTAGCTTTCTAACATCACTGTTTGCAGGAAAATCTTTGTGAATGTTCTTCTAGAAAGACCAAGGTGCAATACACTGTTCACTTCGTCCAAACTTAACTTCATGGGGAAAAAAACATTTTACATGCAAACCTCCCTTGAGTTGGGGCTCAGGAATAAAATCAGAGAATAACAGAAGGATGATTTTCCATTTCATGGAAATGGCCATTCTTGGAAGAGAAAACAGGGTGCCAAAATGTTATACCTTATAGAGAACTTGTTCTCTAACTAGTAAATAAGATCAGAAAGTACCCCATGGAAGTATCCTTTAAAAGCCATTACATTTCAAATGCTCGCGGTCCAGATCAGATGTGAATCAGCTGTTTGAAAAGTTCCCTGCTTCTACACTATTATTTCAAAAATGTAGTGCATGGAGCTGTATTTCAAATCATGAAATGACTTGAACTTTGTGCTACATGATAAGCTAATTTCCACTAACACTTTCACTTCATTTCCAGTTTCTAGCTATCATCGTTTTGCACAGAGGTCAAACATTGTTTTTCCTCATTTGTCTACTCAATCACACTTACTCGAGAAATGCTGTATCTGTGACTAGTCATTTTTAAATATTCAAACAGCTAATCCCCACTGTTTTTTATATTGCCACCTTATTTAGATGCCAAATATATGTAAACAGAATGCAGTACTTTTCGCTGGCTATGCAACATATTATGGTTAAGCATCTGTGTGTGTTTTCCTTCTTCCTCTGGGTATTATGCAGTGATTTTGACATAGAAAGGCAATCAGGATATCAGGAGTCTCATCTTAACTCTGCCATGATTTGCACAACGGCTAAACTGCAGGCAAAACAGTAACAGTGACTTGTGTAAATACTCAGATTAGCACTCAGCTACCCAGGGTGAGCTCTGGTAGCAGCAATACCACAGAGCTGACAACGTAGCATGGGCTAACAGCTCAGCATTTGCCCAGCTTCTCAAGACAGCTCTGCAGCTTGCACCACTGGCAAGACTGGGTGGGAGGAACTGCAAGGGGAGCGCTGCATTGTGGTCTTCCTTCTGTTCTACATGAACTGGCGCAGATATAGCACTAGATTATGCCGATGAGGCGTTGTGACCATTTCTAACCACTCCAGTGAATACAATTCTGTATTCCGTATATATATGATGGTATATATATATATATATATATATACACCATGACTAGTCTGTGGCTAGTCTAAAGCTGGCTCACACACCTTCCACTACAAGCAGAGACTCAGCTTGCAGTGCATCGTTTAACAAGCCAGATGAAAGCACTGCTCTCTTCAGTTGCTTACCTGAAGTCTTTCTGCTGTCCTGTCATGTCATGCTACCCAATCATGCAGGTAGACCACGAAGATAGAGCATTTTAAACCTGGCTTTGTCACTATGTGCTCTGCATGTTTGCGGTCACGTACTATGCTGCCACATACACTTTGTCAGACTTTCTGCTTCTTTTAAATGGAAATATTCAATCTACTCCACTACAGCAATGTTTTTCTGCACTTTGACAAATATTTTGAAGACCACTGAAAATTCTTAGTTAAATAAATATTAGCTTTTATGATCAGTTTTCTGTTGTTTTTTTTTTTCAATTTTGCTGGTTCTGTGCATTTACTGCAGTTGGGAACAGGTTCTCAGCTAAGCTGTTGTAATAATAGACAAACTGGCACAATTTACATCAACAAAATTGCACACAATTTATCCTGCCATACTGAGTAACTGAAGTTGGCTCTTGCTTTTTTTCTATTAAAAATTGTTCTTACATAAATGTGCAGCCAGGATTTCTCAGAAACTGATCAGCATAGCTAATTAACTGTTTGGAAACTGAATGTCTAATTTCTCTGAGGACTTGGTATTTACGATCTGAGAAACTTTTCCCTGGGACACTTAAAAGAAATAAAGTTTAGCAAGGGTGAGCTTGAAAGCCTTCCAGCATATATCTTTGTATTTTCTCCCTTGCTGCTCCTGACACTTTTGACAAAATCCCCAGAAGTTGTTGGAAAAGCTTACTGGACAGTAAGTTACTGTCTTACAGTTTTCATTTAAATTATTCTTAAAATCTTCTTAGCTGTAATTCCTGAAAACAAAACAAAGCAAAAAAAAAAAAAACCCTAACAGAAAACCCTGTAGAAAACTTAAATGGCTAATGAGCCATTAATCACTGCCAAACTTGCTGACAACTACTGCCTCGTGTTTTCCTCATGTGCCTCTATCTCCTAGTCTCCATTTTGTACTGGGACTGGCAGCACCAGTACTCCAAGCCTCATGGTACTATTAGTACTGCATTTTATCTACTATCCATCATATTTCTCTGTATACCGCCATACATCATTGGCAACTTTAGTAGCACCAACTAAAATTTTGGCAGATTTGTGGTTTTTTATGATAACTCAAATATGAGATTTGTTATTTACAGAACAAATCTGAAGGCATACCATAAATGCTTATATGCTCACCTGCATTGGAGCTTTTCTTCCTTGCTTTGAAATGAAGTTCTGTGTAACCCTCTTCATTCTTCATCTCAAGGTCTTTTTCTCACTTCTTCCTATTGAAGACTGTTTGACTGTTAGTGTCAAACTAGGTTATGGGAAATGCTTCAAATGAGTGTGATAAACAGGAAGGGGACAGCAGATGGCCATTTGTGCTTTTATCTGAAGCCAGGCAGTAGCAGGACTATGAAAAGGAACTTAACAGTATAAATTGTGTTCTTTTTCTCTTCTTTTTCACTTCCTCTGTCTTTCTCTGCCAAACTCCAGACACTTCTTACAGATACTTCTAACACTGCATTTTCTCCAACGCAATATCACAGTCCTCAAATGCGGTCTTTCAATGCACACACATGCTTGCACATGAGAGAATACATTTGAGCCCCTCAAACCCATTTCACTGGATTGATAGACTTTTCGCATTTACTTTATATTAAAATCAGCTGTATCAACTTTTGTGTTTTTCTCAAATGCTGAGAATTGATCTTGCTTTACCAAAAGAGATTGTGTGCATATGTCTCATTAAATAAATGGAAAGGGCATTTAAATACATGTTTTGATCCTTGGTTCTGCTTTGTGCCTGTCCACTTGAGCAACAGTTCATACATTTGAGCAACGTAATACCTTTCTTTAAATGGAGACTGAAGCAGATCTGTTCAAACATCACAGTTTGCAATGTTCCTGTTGCAGTTCGAAAGCACAAGCCCAGGCTTTTTGTATCAGCAAAGAGTTGTTTACTTCCAAATTACTGTGCAAGGTCTCTTCCAAGTTGGGGATTCTAGCAAGTTCTTGGTGCTCTTTTAAGTGCTAGTCTGGAATATTTCTTTCTGGAAATTGAGGATTCAGTAGAAAGTTGAAAGTTTTGTTGGTTTTTTTCCTCTGAAATGCTTATAATGATTTCTGGCTGCTGTCAAACTCACCAAGTTTTAATCAAGGTTTTCTTTGGGTCAGGACTACATCCTGGCTTCACCTTTATTGTGTCCATATAGTGTCTAGTGGTGATACATCATGGGAGACATAGACCATCATGTCATTAGCTGTAGTATGCAATTAAATACTTAGTGTCCTAAACACTTATCTCTGTTTGGAGGAATACAAATGCATCCAGAGCACTAGACAGAAATTATTCACTGATTTCTTAAACAAAACCTCTCCGATTATTAGGAATTGTCATTTAAGCTTGGAAACCAAAGTAACTTTACCTCAGCTTTTTTATTGTGGTTAGTACCTGAAAGCCAGTGTCAAGCTGTATGCAGTACAATCACATACTGCAAAAAACAGTGATTTCCAGGGAAGTCTTTCAAACACAGACATACTTGAGGCTGATAGATCATTATGAAACAAAAGGTACTGAGTGGCCAACAAATATATTCTCTGTTTCCACAAAGTGGTAGTACTTATCGTGCAGCATCACAATGCTAAATAACTCTCCTGTATCCAGTGCAGACAAACTCTTGCAGTGTTACCAACTTTCTGAATCATTTTCTCGGAAGATGCTTGGAGGACAAAGTTTGAATATGGAGTTTTTAACTGTTTCTAGAACAGCCGTTGAATGATTTACGTGCTCTGAGCTATAGCTTTTACATTCACCAGATGCAACAGCTGGTCTAATAAAAGATGAGACAACTCCAAATAAGCCTTGCTTCACTTAACATGCTTAGATTCTTCTGCATCCAGGCCCACAGTAAATATATGGGACTTACTGTAAAGTAAACAGAAACAACACAGAAACTAAAGGTTCTGCACTGGAATTACATACTCATATCAGTCATTTTTAACCCGAAGCTTTTTGGGAACTCATTTCTAACAGGAAGGTGGAGTTTCTAAAACCCAAAAACTTCTTCCACAAAAAACATTTCATATTCACAAGTTCTGGATTCCAATTATTTTGTAAACAACCATTTTCAAATCTATGTTTGAGGAGGTATCACTGGTTTTAAGCTAAAATAAAAACCAATATGAAATAAGAAGAAACATGAGACAAATTTTCACACTCTTCATCTGAAAAGAAAAGCTCAGAGGAAGTTTTCTCCCTTTTCATTTTTCATAGGGTAGAATTCTGGAATAAGACTCTGTCATGAATCTTTGTCTAGTAAGGTGGCAGACCACTGCTTTCTTTATGCACATCCCCTTTCTCGCTAACAAGCATCCAGACATAGCTATATCATCTGGCTATGCAGAAATATACTCTCCCAAGCCCTTTGCTTCCAGTGTTTAAGGAAGGATAATGGGAAGTATGAAGACTACAGAAAAGCTGCCCTGACACCCTGAGGGCACCACCAGCCCTGGCTGTCCCTGTCCAGCCCCTGGGGCTCCCCCCACCCTGCCCATGGCCCAGGACCCCATTTCAGCTCCGCAGGGCCAGCAGCCCCTGCCCCAGTGATGCTGTAGCAGTCCCAGTCTCCAGCTCTCCACAGCCATGCCCTGCCCAGCCATGGGCTCTGCCAAGCTGGGCCTACCTGCAGGCCCACGTCATGGCCCCAGGGAGATGCCCCCCATGCCTGGGGCGGGGGCTGCCCCAGTACCCCCGCCTGCCCTGCTTCCAGCTGGGGTGGTGGGACAGGCCCGGGCTGCCAGGCCCTTCCCTGCCACCACCACTCCTGGCCCCTGACCCCTCTCTGCAGCACCCTGACACAAGGGATGTTGTGCTGGCAATGGCGCTTTTTGAAGGATCGTATTTGTTTATTGTTGTCTTGAGTGCAGGTGCCCTGGCGCTGGCAGTGGGGGCTGCAGGGGAGGCCTCTGTGAGGAGAGGCCAGGGAAGCCCCATGCCGGACTCAGGTGGTTTCAGCTGCCTGCAACAGACCCACCGCAGGGCACAGCTGAGCCCCTCAGACAAAATGGTGGTGCCTCTGGGAAAACACATTTAAGGAAGGGCAAAAATGCCACACAGGCAGAGAGGAGTGAGGAAAAAAGTGTGAGAAACAGCCCTGTGAGCACCACGGTGAGAGCAGGGGGAGGAGGAGGAAAAGGTGCTCCAGGTACCCAAGTAGAAATTCCCCTGCAGCTCATGGAGAGACCACGCTGGAGCAGGTATTTCCCTGCAACCCCTGGAGAGGACCCATGCTGGGGCAGATATCCACACTGCAGCCCATGAAGGACCCCATGCCAAAGCAGGTGGATATTTCCCGAAGGAACTGCAGGGTGGTGTTCTTCTTTCCAGAAGAACTGCTCAGGGTGGTGGGTGGCAGGGGTAGTCAGGAATAAAGCAGTGAAGCTGAGTCTGGGAGGAGGGAATAGGAGGGAGGTGTTGCTTTAATCTTTTTGTCTTCATTTCTCACTATCCTAATCTATTTTAATTTGCAATAAATTAAATTAACTTTCCCCAAGTCAAGTCTGTTTTGCTCATGATGGTAACTGGTAAGTGATGTCTCTGCCTTTATTGTGAACCACAAGCTTTTTTGTCTTATTTTCTCCCCTGTCCTGTTGAGGAGCGGGAATGAGAGAGCGGCTGGGTGGGGGGCTGGCAGCCAGCAAAGGTCAACACACCACAATCATCTTACCAGTCTATATTATTTTTCTTTTTTCTTTTTTTCTTGTATATTTACTAAGCTACGTAAAGCTCTAGTAAATCAAAGGCAGTGGATCCTGTGGTTGTCTCAGGAAGTTCTTAAAAAGATTAGCAAGAGACCACCCATGGGAATAATGACAGAAATTGATTCCTAGGTGGATTATCCTCCTGCATAGGAACAAAACAGTTTTAAAGAGTCATGTATCTGGTAAATACACTTTTCAAATATTATATTTTTCTGTTTCACTTGTACTAAAGCCCCTTTATACTCTCAAATTGTTTTTTTTAAAAGTTTGCAGTAGAAGTGAAAATATATTCATATATCTACACATAAAGATTGCAGAAAACCCACCCAAGGAAAGGAAAAACAGTCTTTCAGGCTAAAAAGAATAATACCCCTGCAAAAAAAAATAACCAGGCAATTGATGCATATATGCAGCACACATCCAATAACGATACAGCCAATTAACATGCATACTAAAATCTATGTAGCAGCAAAACATTAATCTTTGAGCAGCCCTTCTTTGTTACAGTATTTTCAAGGATCTGGGGGTTTGATATCATTCTGCCAAGGATGGCATTATTATTAATTTTGTGTACTGCAGCAACACGGTCCTGGAACAGTGAGTACCACACAAATGTATGACAAGATGGTGATTTTACCTTTTCAAAGCTTATTAGCTACTTCTACAAAAATTATGACAAAGAGATGGATGCAGAAGGAAAATGGAGCAGCATGGAGGACACAAGAAGGGTAAACCAATAATGCTGTGCGTGATCGGTGGCAATTTCATAGCAATATCTGCTAAGCTATTACTGAGCTTTTAGTTCCACACTAGCAGAGGGCAGCTTTGGGAAAGTACCAGAAGAAAGTCAAGGGATAACATATTTATAGGCAGTGTCTTCCAGCTGTGGCAGAGGCTGGAGGAAAAAACACAGAGCTGTTTATTAAATAAGTTAGTAAGTTAAGCTCAAGGTTGTTCGCAGGTTGGCTGTAGAACCTGATGCCAATGTTGCAAGGATGAAGGTAAGACACAGTCACGAGCCTTGAAAATGTAGATCACTGTCTCAACAGAGGGATGAAGCATGCAACTTGGCCCCAAACACCAAGCCAGGGGAGCAATCCAGGAAAATGTAGGCATGTTTATATTTAAACAGGAGTGTCCACATGGAATTTTTTGAGTATGTGTGTACTTACAGTTGATGTGCATAGCATTTTACAAGATCACAAACCTAGTTCCTCTTATTTTTGCACACTCAGAGAACTGGCTTTGTCTTTCCTTCATCCTGCTTCTTGTTTCTCAAACAGACTTCACACTTCACATTTTATATCAGAAGAAATAAAACTTCAAAGCCACTTACATGCATATATAAAATGCTACATAATTTCCTTTTCTTTTGTGAAGTCCAATATATGTTTCTAACTGAAAACAAGAGCTTTTAAATTGAATTCTGGGAAAGGCAAACAAGCATCCTTTCTTGGCAACATGGTGTTGTGAATCCAAGTCAGAAACATTTGGTTTTTTCTTTACTTTGGAAGGATATTTATATTCC